CAAGGTCTGGCCTTTGTCCTGTTGCACTTTACAAACCCCCAGGATGGGGAAGCACCCCCCCCTTCCAGCTCATCCTGTGTTTGTTTCTTTTTCTTGCCAATTTAACCCTCCCACTGCTCTGGAAATGCTGTTCTCTGAGCTCATCCTTGAGTTTTCCTCCTGCAAATCCCCTCTGAGGGAATCTCTCTGTGCTTTTTTTCACATCTGTTTACCCACAATCACACCTTTGCAGCTTTCAGGGCTCACCCGGCAATGAAATATCGCTGGTTTATCAGGACACGTTCCTGTTGAGCTTGTGTGGGTCCGTTTGGTGCTGGGAATAACTTACACAAGACCCCAGAGGAACAAAAAGCTGCTGCCCCCGTTGGTTTGGGGTGCAGGGAACCAGGTTCTGCAACAGAGGGAGGAACCAGAGCGGGGTTTCCTGTGGGCAAAACAAGCTCGTGGGGAGCCACAGGCAGAAAACCCGAGCAGAAGAGGTGCTGTGAACTCTCACAGGCTATTTTCAGCCCTGTGTGGTTTTGCAAAAGGGCCCCCAAAGCACAGACTCTGCTCCGAGCCCTCGGTGCCTCCCCTGAGCCCTGAACGGGCTCCTGTCCCCTGCAAACCTCTGAGATCTCACTGACTTATTTATTTAACAGTTCAATGCCTTTGAAGTTGTCTTTCTCTTTCCTTTCTGCTTAATTTGTTGGGGTTGTTTTTTCCTCTTTAGTCTTTGTCCCTCCCCTCTCTTCCCCTCCCTTATCTTTTCCCCTCCCCTCCCTCTGTCCTTTGTGCTGCTTCCCCTCCCTGATGTGGGTTCAGCCCTGCCAGATGGTGCCCTTGGCACCAAGATAATGCTGTGAGCCAGTGCCAACCCCACAGGGGCTGTCGTGGCTGGCTGGGCTGTGCCCAGGAGGTCTCAGCTCCCTGCAGGTCCCCTCAGCCTCTCCTCTCCTCTCCTCCCACCCCAGGCTGCCGAGTGCTTCCACCCCACAGAGCCCAAGGGACACGTCAGCCCCCGAGGCTTCTCTGCAAGGATGGGGAAAGGAAGCCAAAAGCCAAATTCTGCAAGCCAGGAGGAGCCACTGAACATCTGCAGCGATCCAGAGAAAGAGTCCAAATGTGGTAATGCTGGGAAAATCCCAAACTTTCCCAGGGAGGGAAGAGCATCTCGTTCTGGGGAGGTACCAGTGGGATGGGGATGGAGCCTTTGGGGTGGGTGTGGAGCAGCCCAGGCACTGAATTCCAGGCTCTGGAATTCACCTCTGGAGGCTGAAGATCCATCTCCAGGCCCTCAAACACACCTTGGTGGCTCTGAAGGACTCCTGAGCCCCCAGAGGGTCCCTGGATGGGGCTGGGGATGGACTGAGGGTCCAGCACAGGGGGGCAAAGCAGAGGGGAGAGGAGCCAGGCCATCCTCACCCTGCTCTTTCCTGCCCCAGGGTCCTACAGAACCGAGTCAGGGCGCAGAAGATCCCCCAAGGTGCGTGTTCTCCTGGCTCTGAGTGTGTTCCTGGGGATCCTCAGCTTGAGCCTGGCTGGAGCAGTGACTGGTGAGTCCCACCCAGGCACCCCCAGGGGGAGGATTCGGGCCAGGTTTTGGGAGGTGGGAGGATCCCAGGACATTCCCAGCATCCAGAGAGGCTCCCAAAGTGGGAGCCTTTGCACTTTGCTCCAGGCATCTGCTCCTCCCTCAGTCACACATTTTCCCAAGAGAATCATCCCCAGTTTTCCTCTTCCAGCTGCTGGAAAACCCCAAGCAATCAACCCCATTTTGCTGCTTTTCGGGGCTGCCCACGTGTCTGACTCAGCCTTCTGTGTTTCAGTTCTCGGTGTCAGACCCCGGTTCTCCGAGCTGGAATTCTCCCACGTGTGCCCAGACACCTGGCCTGGTTTCCAAGGACAATGCTATCATTTCTCTGAGGCCGAGGGCAACTGGACCACGGGCCGGGCAAGGTGTGAGGCCCTGGGAGCTTCCCTGGCCACCATAAGCACCAGGGAGGAACTGGTGAGGACTGGGAGGAACTGGTGAGGACTGGGAGGAACTGGTGAGGACTGGGAGGAACTTTTCCCTTGGGAAAAGCCCCAGGCCTGGCTGGGGGTGGACACAGGAGGGAAAGAGGAGGTGGGGAAGGCAAGACTGGCCAGAGCCAACGTTTCTTTGCCTTCCAGGCCTTCCTTCTGCGCTACAAAGGCGAAGCAAACCACTGGATCGGGCTGGGAGTGGGGGATAAGGGCTGGGAGTGGATCAATGGCACGGCCCTGAACGGCAGGTTTGAGGTGAGGGGTGGGGGCCCCTGCGGGTACCTGAACCAGGGCAGGATCAGCTCGTCCCTATGCCACACGGAGAAGAACTGGATCTGCAGCCGCCCCGACAACTTCGTCCTGTGGGAGGGGAAATTAAGAGACTCCAAAGCGGGACTCTCAGCCTAAATCTCCCACCAGACCAGGGAGCTCCACCCCAGCACTCAC